AGCTCATTTCCCCCTTCACCCACACTCCCTCCCTCATGAATCCTTGATAATTTATAAATTACTCTTTTTTTTCATATCTTATACAAACCACTGTCTCCATTCATCCACTTTTCTGTTGTCTATCCCCCTGGGAGGGGATTATATGTAGATCATTGTGATCGGTGGCCCCTTTCTCCCCCTATCTTCCCCTTGCCCTCCTGGTATCGCTACTCTCATTATTAGTCCTGAGGGGTTTATCTGTCACAGATTCTCTGCGTGAAACGTGTTCTTGACCATAGAGTAGCTAAAGCAAAAGAAAGAAATGATAGTGTAAAAGAGTTGAACAGAAAATGTCAAAGGGCAGTTCAAAAAGACTTAGTAAAGAATTATAATGAAATGTGCAAAGAGTTGGAGGCAGAAAATCAGAAAGGAAAAACACAGTCTATGCCAAATTGAAACAACTGAAGAAAATGTCAAGTCAAATGACAATTTGGAGCAATTCTATATTAAATTGTAACAGATGCAAGAAACATCAAGAGAAGATGGAAGGAATACAGAGTCACTGTACCAAAAATAGTGGGTCAACATTAAACCATTACAAAATGTTGATCAAGAAGTCATATTATTAAAAGAAGCCCGAGTTAGAGTGAAGGTATCAATGAAAACTAAGGCTCCAGGAATTGAGAGAACACAACTGAAAAGTCTCGTGAAACTCATGCAGCACTGAAAGTACTCATTAGTCTACGCCAAGACATTTGAAAGACAGTGACCACGTCAACTGGCATAATTATCGCATGGGGGGAAAATCTGAAGCCCTGAATTTCTGAAAAATGTAAAGGTGGAACCCACACAAAGAGATCAAGCAGAGAAATGAATTCTCAGAGGGCCGATCATGAGCCCTGGGGCCACTCCCAGAGAGAGGATCAGTTCCTGGAGTGGCTGACCCTGAAAGAGCTGAGTGAGTCTCCTCCTCCTCCTCGAGCAAACCCGCTGGGGGATGGAGGCACGCCCAGGATTTTGCTGCACCTTCCCTCCACTTCCCAGTATAGCATTGCTATGGTTGTCAGGTGCCATCAAGTCAGTTCCCACCCATAGTGACCTGATGCACAACAGACTAAACACTGCCTGACCCTGTACCATCCTCATAATTGTTCTTATGCTGGAGCCCATTGATGCAGCCACAGTGTCAATCCATCTCCTGGAGGGTCTTCCTCGTTTTCACTGCCCCTCAACTTTACCAAACATGATGCCCTTCTCCAGAGACTGGTCTCTCCTGACAACATGCCCAAAGTATGTATAGTGTTCTCTAAGGAACACTCTACCCATATTGTTCCAAGACAGATTGGCTTGTCCTTTGAGCAGTCCACGGTACTTTCAATATTCTTCTCCAGCACTACCCTTCGAATGCATTGATTCTTCTTCACTCTTTTTTAATCAATTTCCAACTTTCATCTGCCTATGAAGCAACTCAAAATACCATGGTTTGGGTCAGGCACACCTTAGTCCTCAAAGTTACATGTGCACTCTGAAAGTGGGGCACACTTAACAGGACTACATAATATCGTGGGCAAACGCAAGGGAGACTGAATCCTATCAGGTCTTCCACAGTGACCTGAGGCATGAAGAGGACAGAATG